GGCCACCACTGATTGTCATCAAGGAGTAACAGCTGGAACCCATCAAGCCTGCCAACCTGAAATTAAGGAGAAACACAAAGACCTAACATAAACAAATATTGCAGCATGTCATTCCGACTCCCTTGCACACGCTGAAGATGCAAGACTAACTGGATAAACTGGGGTGTAAATGTATCACAGCCTGGTGAGAGCAGAGGCAGAGTGCGTGCACTGATGTGATGATAATGACAGTAGAGGGACTGTCAAATTCACACGACTCGCAATCACACACACGTTTCAGAGAGACCTCGGGGGAAGCCTTCTCACCGCTGAGCAGCTCAGTTTGGAATATGAAGCACAACAGGCAGGGTTTCTGTTGGGACTCTTTATGCTCTGCATCTCATTTGATAGTGATGCAGACAGGATGGAGGGAGCTCTAGCACAATTTCTCTCCAGTGGGCAAGAATTTCATGTTTAAAATCAAGCTCTTTTAAAACTGTTGCAGGGATTTGCAGCTACTTAACACAATGCAACAGCAAAAACCCTAAGTGGTCCCACACGAACACAGAAGAACATCTAAAAAATGAATTAATAAAAATATATTTAATGCTATTAAGCAGGAAACTTAGATTAATTAAGCCAGTTATCATAAAGAAAGCAAAAAAGGCTAAAACAGATGCCCATAAAGACTAATATTTTAAATCTCCCAGCATTTAGAAAGAACATACTGACAAATGAGTCATTGTGGATCTTCTGTTTAAGAAATGCAAATAGAATAGTTTTCAATATTTAGCACAGAAAAGCTGGGATTTATTTTCGCAGAACTATACTACAGGATTCATAATCATTAAACCGTTTCAGAGCTCTTCAAACTTTTATAAGATGCGCCAATACAAAGATAAAAGGCTTCCGTTAACTTTATTTTTACAGAATGGCTGAAGAGGTCATGGATGTTGGAATGTTGATCTGTCTGAATAAAGCTGATTCTGTGTGCCTGGGCAGGTTGATGGGATCCTGGATGTGCATCTCAAGAAACCAAAGTAGAAAGAAAGAAAAATAGAAGTTTAACTTTATTTTGCCACAATAAAGAAATCAAGTCTCTGCATTTAACCCATCCCATTGGGAAGCAATGGGCTGCCCCTGTGCAGCGCCCTGGGAGCAATGTGGGGTTAAGGGGCTTGCTCAGGGACCCAGAGTGCAGGCTGTGGGGATCGAAACTTCTCCAAGTACAAGCACACTGCTCTAACCAGGCAAACACTCCTCCTCATTCTGCAAACAGAGTTAAAGCCATATCTGCATCTGCAGAATGAATTACAGTTTTTCTCAGTACTTCTTTTTCAGGGCCTCTTCTTCCTGTTCCCGATCTGGTTTATTGTGTTCATGGGCAGAATCCCAAGGAGTAGACGTGGGGGGGTTGGTCTGGTATGGGAACGTCAGGATCTTATTAACTGTTTCTGCAGGTATCTTCAAGCATGATGACCATTAAGCTCTAAAACTGAGGCGTTAATGACAAAAACCATGGCCAGGTAGTTCATCTGCACTGACATTTATTTATTCATCCAGCAACAATGCTGCATCTCAATGTGCAACATGGCTATTGACTGGTTAAATATATTTTCCTATTTGTAAACACACATTAAATTCATTTAAATATCTTTATCTACTCGATTCTCTTTTTCTTTTTGTGTTCAACTTTTCATTTATTTTTTTTAAATCTAATATTTTTGATTCACTTCCTGGCAATAGTTTAGTTAAAAAAACAACTAACCGTACTGTGTTTTTCCCATAGGTCGCTGTTCTATTGACCTCTTTTATTAGCTTGGTGTTTGTTTTTGTAAATTTTTCTTTTTGGGTTAAAATGAAACCTTTTTTCTGTGACTCCTTATTCCCTCTGACTACATGAGTGAGCAGCACAACAGGAAGAGCCCTGCAGCACAGAAAGATAGCAAAAAAAATAAAAACCACCAGGATCACATCAGCGCAGGGTTCAGCAGAGTTTAAAATGGTCCACGTTATTTGAGGTCTGTGCAAAAAAACAAAAAACAAAACCACTCACATCTAAGCAGTGATCCTCAAAGACTATTGGGTCAAAAAGGACCAAACTCTCATAATGTCCACCTTTGCTGAATGTCATATTTGAGAAACCTTGTTATCCACAGCACATCCAGTCATTGTTGCTGTCAAACCGGTCTCCCTTCAGGCATTCTGCAGCAGTAATGTCTGCACACAGATATCATCTGAACTCCTGCATCCCAGTCCGGCTCAGTGACCTTTGGCTCAACCTGGAAGATGAGCAGCTTTATTAAACAGAACCTTTAGAACAGAGAGGAAACCTCACACCCTAAAAATCCCCCCAAAATAATGTGAAACTCAACACATGTTGACATAGCACATGGATCAAGACAATGAGGATGACACATGGGTCTGTTGTTCCCCCTTCATCTAATTGATACACAATGGAGAGTGTCAGCGTCACCAGTGGGGCGTGGATGAAGCTGACATTCAGGCCATGACAGCAGGCAGTCGTGGTGTCAGCTTGCTGGGCGCCCTGCAACATGTCTCCTCCTGTGATTGACAACCCCCCCAATTAACCTCCAGCTCAACTAAAGACAGAAATGACACACATATACACCTGCTCTTTATGCAACACACAGGGGTTTGTATCAGCTGTGAGACTCTCTTTTTCTATTCATGCAGCAACATATTTAACATTTATTCTCTCTTAAGGCCAAATAAAGAATTATATAATTAAGCTGCTCAAATGCACCTCTGAGATGTTGTTAATAATCATATAAATGGGAGTCTGGCTCCCTCTAGTGATGGTATAGAGTGGTGCAAAAAGCTCTGCTGTATTTTCAGTCGTATAAAAGAACCTCTAGTTAAGATTCTACGTTTCATGTTTGTATAAAAGACACACATTTTGAAACTCTTTAGTTACATTTAAAATTCACAGAATTTTATGAGGCCTTCTTTCATTGATAGATCAACACAAAGCAGTAAATGATTGCAAAGTGGAAGAAAGAAACATTATTTTCAAAATTAAAAAAAGGACAGGAAGAATTCTCTTTAGTTAACTTAATCTGGGTATAAATGTTGTTGCTGTTTAGAGGGAGCATTAGAGAAAAAACAGCATCATGAAGACTAAGGAACACTGCAGACCGGTCAAGGAGAAAGTTGTGAAGAAGTTTAAATCTGGGTTAGGTTCTAAAACTGTACCCTAAGAAGTAAAAATCTCACAGAGCTCTGATCAATTCATCATCTGGACTTTAAATGTCCACTTTGCAGTTTGCTAAAACAATGTAAGAAATGCATTCAATATGTGGAAGGAGTTCTTGCAGTCGCGGTTGTAAGCGAAACTTACCAGGGGGGCCTGGGTGGGGCCACTGTTTTTTTCATGGGACACGAAAAAAACAAAAAAAAAACAGCACAAGCTCATCACTGCAGAGCCTTAGGCCCTGTCCACACGAAGTCAAAACGAACACGAAACGCTGATATTTTCCAAAACATTTGTCGTAAAGACAGAGACGTAAAATAAATGTGATCGTCCACACGAATGCATGAAAACGCTGCAAAATGTATGCCAGGCCTATAAGTGGCGCTGTGGTGCCAAAGCAAAAATAGGCGACGAAATGTTGGGCATGCGCAGTAATATTTATACATGGTTGCCCTGCGGGTCCATTTTCGTGGTTCAGTCAAATTCAGGTGCTGAACTATGTCGTCTATATTGCTCTGTTCTTCCTGGAGATATTCCAGAAGAAGAAGATTCTGTTGTAAGCCCGACAGCAGGGTGAGTAGCATGAGCAGCAACCATTCAACACAGTACGGCGCCATTGTTGTTGTGATACTGTGTCGCGCATGCGTGTTTAGAGGCGACGCTATGACGCATGCGTGTAAAAAAAAAAAAATGCGGTTAGAGCTTAAAGATGGAAACGCAAAAACGATGTTTCAAAATCTTCCCACTCTGAAGGCTGAATAAAAAAAAGATTGTTTACAGACCCCCGAAACGCCGGCTTCGTGTGGATGAGAGGCTGGTTTGGTGAAAAATTTGTGCGTTTAGGCCAGGGTTCGTCTTCGTGTGGACGGGGCCTTAAACCAGCAGATGAAAACTGTGACCCTTTATTTAAAGAGCTGGAGCTTAAAACTGACTGTAATTGCTAACTTTACTTGCTAACCAATTCCATCTCACCAATTCATTCTAACAACTATTAGAGTGAAATGGTCCAAAGGACAAATCATTTAAAACAGACAAAAATATTATCACATGCGCATAAATAAATACTTAAAAAATAAGTAATAAATAAATAAAGTTAAGGATTATAATGGACAATAAATAAATAAGCTAATTATTACAAAGGCGAATAAATAAAAAAGCTAATTAAATGATATATATACATTTATGTCTCACTGTATAATTAAATTTCTACCTTCCTTTTTTAAAGTATTTCGGGGGCAATTAATTGTATGCTTATTTATTTATTGAGCATTTATTTATTTATATTTAAATATGGCAGAGTTGGTCCTCCATATATATATATATATATATATATATATATATATATATATATATATATATATATATTTTTTTTTTTTTTTTTTTTCTTTTTTTATTATTATTATAAACTTAATTAGAAAATGCTTTATAATACAGAAAGAAATACAAATTCCATGAAATAATCGCCAGGGGTTTGAGTAAAAAGTAATAAATACATACATAAATAAAAAGGAACTGAATAAAAGTAAAAATAGCAATAGTAAATATATGCATGTAAAGGGATTATGTAAATACTTTAAATTTAGAGCATAGAGATAAAGTTTTAACAGCCTTTTTGTTATTGGAAGAGGACAATGTAGAAAAATAAGTTATTGCTTTCTTTAAAAAGGAGATATATGAGGGTTCAGTCATAGTAATTTTACATTTGTGGATATAAAATTTGGCCAACAGATCAAAAGATTACAACCTCCATAATTGTAATCCAGGTAATCTAGATTAATTTAGGTCAAAGTGAACTATTTCCGGTCATAGGCTCCGCCCATTTGAGTCCTTTATGAGTATTGTAGAAATGATTTTATGGATCAGTGTCTCCTATTGAAAAGTGTTTCACTGAAGCACAAATAAAACTGGTTCCGGTTGGAGCTCCAGGGTTGGACCGAGGGAATGGAGACCCGACAGCGGATGAAATCAGTCCTCCAGAGGCGCATAGACTCCATGGCGCAGCAGCTCCACAGGCTGAGTCTGGACATTTGGAGCAGACCCGAACTCTCCGCTCAGGAAGTGAGCGCTCATGACACTCTGGTCCGGTTCTTCTCCGAGCAGAACCAGGGCTGGACGGTCCAAAGCCAATATAAACTGCCCACCGCGTTCCGGGCCAGCTGGGGGCCGCTGGGTGCCAGCCGGGGGGCCGCGCTGAACGTGGCTTTCCTGTGCGAGTATGACGCGCTGCCGGGGATCGGACACGCGTGCGGCCACAACCTGATAGCAGAGGTGGGAGCTGCGGCTGCAGTGGGGCTGAAAGCTGCTGTGGAGACCCACGCAGAACAGGCTGTCCCAGTGGAGGTAACAGTCACTGTCATAGGAGGGGCCAAGGTGGGGGCCAACTTTCCTTCATGGGGCCACTAATCAAAAGCATGAAAAAAACTAACTAAAAAAGGATAAACATTGAATTGTTTGAAATATTAAATAAGCCAAACAGCCCCTTCTATCCAAAACAAAAAAAAGTTACATTTTATATCATTATTAAAATCAGGGATGTCAAAGTCAAATATACCAAGGGCCAAAAAAACTAATTTGCTACAAGCTGAGGGCCAGACTGGTTAAATGTTTATTAAAACATATTGAAATGAACATAGCCTACTGAACCAAGACCTATGACATAAAAAAAAAAAAAATATTAATATCAGTATTATTAATAAACGTAAGATAAATACATAAAAAAAGAACAATCAAATAAGTTGTATTCGACTCTTATTTGCACTTTTCTCTGATTCCATTCAACTGAAAAATATGAATAAATAAAATACAAGAATCTATGGCACACAGACAAAACAATACTTCCTTCACAGAAAAATCACCTCTTGTACAAAGAAATGTTAAAATTTAGTTTTTGTTTTGGACCCAGAATTCACCCAGAGGTTCTTTAATAAAGGAATTTATTAAACAAAAAGCAGAGCAATACCAAAAAGGCCTGAATAATCAAAAAGACTACGGACCATAGGTATCAGCAGAGGCTGATTGAAGAAGGAGCCTGGATGGAGGGAGGAGCGGAGCTGATCCTGCAGGCAAGAGCAGAGGGGCAGGTGGGATCCGTACACCAGGCACAGAATACCTTGAGGGGAACAGACAGCACAGTCAGGGCAGAGGTCCACGCCTGTAAGAAGTGCTCTGTCTCCATCAGAGTATCATTTAGATCCCACTTGCCCCACGCTCGCCGCCTACAGGATCAGCTCCGCTCCTCCCTCCATCCAGGCTCCTTTTATTTTGGCTTCAATCAGCGCAGTTAGTTCACTCGCCTCTGACCTCAGCCCAGCTTGGATTGTTAAAGGGGGAAAAGCAAAAAAAAACAATCCAAACATGCAAAGCACAACAAAAAAATTAAAAGAAAAGAAAAACACAATCATGTGTTCCCCTGGGAATGTAGTGTTGGTGCATGCAGCACAACCGCATCAACACTACATTCCCCACAATGCAACGGTAGCCTGCAAAGTCACAGCAGCGTGCACAAGGGGGCCATGGATGAACAATTCTTTGGCCTTGACTTTGGTATATGTGATTAAAATGAAGGTGGTAAAGAAAAAAAAACTTAGAAGAATTTAGTGCAAGAGACTAATCAGTTATGGTTTCTATGCTAGTGCATATCAGAATCCTGTATTTAGTCCAGGGGCTTTAAAGGGCCAGGATCATTTCCACAGGGCACTGGCCCCTGTTGCTAGAACCAGCCCTGCAGAGAGGCTGGTCTTCTCAACATGTCTCATCGACATTTTACTTAATTTTTTAATTTAAAGAAAAAAGATATCCGTCCGGCGCCTCCGGAGGGGAAAGCAGTGCTTCACTAACACTGTTTTTAGTGGGTGTGGGGAGCTGCTGACCTTGAAGGAGGATATTGTCGGGCGGTGGAAGGAATACTTTGAGGATCTCCTCAACCCGACAGACATGCCTTCCGTGGGGGAAGAAGAGACGAGGTGCTTGGGGCTGGGTTCGTCCATCACCCAGGCTGAAGTCACCGAGGTAGTCAAAAAACTCCACGGTGGCAAGGCTTCGGGGGTGGACGAGATCCGACCTGAGTATCTCAGAGCTCTGGATGTTGTCGGGCTGTCATGGTTGACACGTCTCTTCAACATCGCGTGGAGGTCGGGGACAGTTCCCCTGGATTGGCAGACTGGGGTGGTGGTTCCCCTCCACAAGAAGGGGGACCGGAGGGTGTGTTCCAACTATCGGGGAATCACACTTCTCAGCCTCCCCGGAAAGGCCTATGCCAGGGTGCTGGAGAGGAGAGTCCGGCTGATTGTCGAACCTCGGCTGCAGGAGGAGCAGTGTGGTTTTCGTCCTGGCCGTGGAACGGTGGACCAGCTCTACACCCTCTGTAGGGTGCTTGAGGGTTCATGGGAGTTTGCCCAACCAGTCCACATGTGTTTTGTGGACTTGGAGAAGGCATTCGACCGTGTCCCTCGTGCTGCCCTGTGGGGGGTGCTCCAGGAGTATGGAGTCAGGGGCCCTTTATTAGGGGCCATCCGTTCTCTGTACAAGCGGAGCAGGAGTCTGGTTCGCATTGCCGGCATTAAGTCGGACCTGTTCCCGGTGCATGTTGGACTCCGACAGGGCTGCCCTCTGTCACCGGTCCTGTTCATAACTTTTATGGACAGGATTTCTAGGTGCAGCCAAGGACCGGAGGGGGTCTGGTTTGGGGAACAGCGGATCTCGTCCCTGCTTTTTGCGGATGACGTAGTTCTGCTGGCTCCCTCCTGCCAAGACCTACAGCGTGCGCTGGGGCGGTTCGCAGCCGAGTGTGAAGCGGCCGGGATGAGAATCAGCTCCTCCAAATCCGAGGCCATGGTTCTCGACCGGAAAAAGGTGGCTTGTCCCCTTCGGGTTGGAGGGGAGTCCTTGCCTCAAGTGGAGGAGTTCAAGTATCTTGGAGTCCTGTTCACGAGTGAGGGAAGAATGGAGCGGGAGATCGATAGATGGATCGGTGCGGCTGCTGCAATAATGCGGACGCTGCACCGGTCTGTCCTGGTGAAGAGAGAGCTGAGCGAAAAGGCAAAGCTCTCAATTTACCGGTCGGTCTACGTTCCTACCCTCACCTATGGTCATGAAATTTGGATCATGACCGAAAGAACGAGATCCCGGATACAAGCGGCTGAAATGAGCTTTCTCCGCAGGGTGGCTGGGCTCTCCCTTAGAGATAGGGTGAGGAGCTCGGTCATTCGGGAGAGGCTCAGTGTAGAGCCGGTTCTCCTCCACATCGAGAGGAGTCAGTTGAGGTGGCTCGGACATCTTCTTCGGATGCCCCCTGGACGCCTCCCTCGGGAGGTGTTCCAGGCATGTCCCACCGGGAGGAGGCCCAGGGGACGACCCAGGACACGCTGGAGAGACTATGTCTCTCGGCTGGCCTGGGAGCGCCTAGGGCTTCCCCCAACAGAGCTGGAGGAGGTGTCTGCGGAGAGGGAAGTCTGGGAGTCTCTGCTTAGTCTGCTGCCCCCGCGACCCGGTTCCGGATAAAGCGGGAGACGACGAGCGAACGAGCGAGCGAGCACGAGATATCTAAAAATCTAACTAACAAAAAAAAGTAAAAATCTTGCTTATAAGACATTTAGTTTCCATGTTTTAAAAGCTAGATTCTGACTTCCTCTGTACGCAGAAAGGTTCCTCATCTGTCCCTTCTAATAGAACTATTTCAGACAGATTTTAAATCACATGACCTAGAAGCTATTGAAGAAAAACAGTTTGAATTAAGTAAATATTAAAAATTCTTAACATGAATAAAAAAATGTGTGCCTCGCTTATGTAATCTAATAGCACAATTTACCATTGCTATTGTTTAAGTTGGCCATAAGACAAGGTATTTATTTATTTTTGTTTCTCAAGAGGGTTTGGTTCAGAAATTTGTCCCTAAGTGACCACCATAGGTGAGGAGGGAGCAACAGAGAGCTTCTGGCTGAAGTCTGAGGCCGTTTCTCAATATGCGTTCTTGAGCGTTCTCGTGTGCTTGTGTACTCGTGACACGTCATCAGCCTCAGCCCGAGTACCGTTCCAATTCTCGAGAACGCCAGATCGAGAACGCACCAAATCCCCGGATGTTGTTCTCGCCCCGCCCTCTTTATCGAGCATGCATCAGAGCAGACTTGTGCGTTCTTCAGACTGACCGCTTCCCCAGAATGCCCCGCGGCCGCAGCTTGATTCGAGACAGCGCTCACAGTGTTAAGTTAAACATTCCCTTTTCTGCTGCTGTGGTTCTTCAAAAGTACGTTTTGAAATCGTTTGAGGCGATAACATTATACATTTAAGCCTCCCTGTGTGGTCTGTTTACAGAGTTAGTGCGAAATTTAAAAAAAAAAATTCCGACGTTGAGCGGACCAGAGTGACCAGCAGTTTTATGCCCTCAGTGGAGCTTGAATATCCAATATCCAGCTTCAAACTAATTAACTTACTGTAGCAGTGTTTTTCTGTTTGTTTTTTTTTTTTGTTTGTTTGTTTTTTTGGACTTGCTTGTTTGGAGTTTGCATCACGCGTACATTTGTACGGAGCCCCTAAAGGGACATGGAAGGGAAAAAAAGAACTTTTTGGGACTCTAGAAATTAAGAACCTCTCCAAATCATCCTCCATGGTTGTAGCTGACACATGGGCGTATTATCCTCCCATAGCAGTACACTTTGCACCTCCACTGTTGTGTGTTTGTTTTACTTCCGGTTTGCTGACATAGCAAAACGTTTTGCGAGATCTCGCAAAAGTATTGCGGGATCTCGCAAAGTTTATTTTTTGCGAGATCTCGCAAAAGTATTGCGGGATCTCGCAAAAGCTTATTTTTTGTGAGATCTCGCAAAAGTATTGTGGGATCTCGCAAAGTTTATTTTTGTGCGAGATCTCGCAAAAGTATTGCGGGATCTCGCAAAAGCTTATTTTTTGTGAGATCTCGCAAAAGTATTGCGGGATCTCGCAAAAGCGTATTTTTTGTGAGATCTCGCAGAATTGTGGGATCTCGCAAAGTTTATTTTTTGCGAGATCTCGCAAAAGTATTGTGGGATCTCGCAAAGTTTATTTTTTCCTCCATATCCCTTTAGGGGCTCCGTACATTTGCAGCTCGTTTCACGCTTCACTGCTTGTTTGCACCTGTTGATTTCCGTATGTTTCCCATTTATGATCCACTAAAAAGAGAGAAATCTGCCAATTTTCTTTTGATCAAAAACACCAAAAGCTATCCTGTTTACTAATGAAACAAGCTGATAGTTTGAGGAATGATGCAAGCTGAAGCCTGGTGAGAGAATCTTCACCAAAGTTTGAAACTACCTTAGCTCCTGTCAGTTATTAAAGATGCAAAGAGACCTAAAACGCTCCATGTGTTTTAAGATAAGCCAACCTAAGGCCATGTGAGTAGCAGCAGTTGACTTACTGCTGTGGATCATCGAGCATGACTGGCAGGTTTGAGCTAACATTAACTTCAGGTTACTGAACCCTTTTAATCCCAGATAACTGTTCTGGGAACTCCTGCAGAGGAGGCGGTTGGAGGAAAGATTGACCTGATCCGAGCGGGGGCTTTCAGTGATGTGGATCTGGTCTTCATGGCTCATCCAGCTCAGCAGGATGCTCCCTTCCTTCCCACCGTCACCATCACAGAGTGAGTTCTTTTATATTGCATCTCCTTTTAAAATAGAAACCTTAAATGATCACATCTGAACCAAGCGGGTGGATATTACGCAGGATGTCAGTGAAGTACCACGGGAAAGCGTCCCATGCTTCAGCGTACCCTTGGGAGGGGGTAAATGCTCTGGATGCTGCTGTGCTGGCTTACAGCAACCTCTCCGCGCTCAGACAGCAGCTCAAGCCTGAGTGGAGGCTGCATGGTGAGGAGCAGAAAAAATATAAAGTTGAATGACTTTTAGTTTGCAGCAAACAAAATCAGGAATGCATGATCGAAAAATCTTGTTACCTTTAAACTTCAGTTAACGTAGAAAACAAATAATTCTTCTTACCTTTCATTTTGTTTTCATGCATTTCTTTGCAGACTTTCATTTTTGTTTCGAAAAAACTAAGAAAATGAAGTCACAGTTTTCTTTAGTGTGAATTATCTAACAGGTTTCACTACCAAAGACGGTATAAGAAGACATTAAATCCTGTGCTAGAAGTGGAAACCCTGTTATCTGTGTCAGATAAATAAGCAGAAAAACAAAACGGATGAGTTTCTTTTCGCTTCCTGTTTTTCCTCTGAACAGGCATCATCAAACACGGCGGGGTGAAGCCCAACATCATCCCTGCCTACTCTGAGTTGGAGTTTTATTTGCGAACTCCACAGCTGAGTGATCTGTGGGAGCTGAAGGCCAAAGCTGAGGCTTGTTTCCGAGCTGCTGCTCTGGCCACAGGCTGCCAGGTGAGCTGCTGACCACCTCAGTAATAAGACTCAGCTGTCATGTAAGATTATCTTTGAGGACTTATCGCCGTAATTACGCTCCAGGTTGTTTGTTGCTGTTGCGTAACTGTGACCTTTGAGCTGTATGTCACCTTCGTCTGCAACTGATCCAAACAGGCTCCTGTTTTAGAAAGTCTGTTAGCCTCTTTAAATATATTCCTCTTTTCCTTCCAAACAGTGCAGTCTGAATACTTTGCCAACCAGCATGGACGCGTGGACACTTTACTTTACAGGTTTTCTTTTTTCGTGTGTTACTTCTAGCTTTTAAATGGAACTGTGTGCTTTTTTGCACTTTAAAAACACGTTTCATTTTTTCATTCATTCATTTTCTGACACGCTTATTCCAGCTGGGGTCGCGCGGGGTGCTGGTGTCTATCTCCAGCAGTCAATGGGCGAGAGGCGGGGTCCACCCTGGACAGGTCTCCAGTCCATCGCAGGGCAACACAGAGACAAACAACCACTCACACACACACACACTCACCCTAAGGAGAATTCAGAGAAGCCAATTAACCTAACAGTCATGTCTTTGGACTGTGGGAGGAAGCCGGAGTACCCAGAGAGAACCCACGCATGGTCAGGGAGAACATGGTTCTGGGAATCGAACCCAGAACCTTCTTGCTGCAAGGCAGCAGTCCTTTTTCCTTTTGCAAAGACACCTTTTTAAAATACGAAGGATCCAATTTTTTTTTTTATTAGAATATTTTTAATTAAACTTGTAAAGCATTTTTTCTTACTTTTAAAGAAGCACCAATCTGATATTGAGTAATTAGCTGGAGCTGATTTTTTTCATTTTTTTTCATTCCTATCACACACACACACACACATACACACATGTTGTGTCACAGTATCCTTGTGGGGACCTTCCATTGACTTCCATTCATTTCCCACTAATTTATATGGCCTAACCATGACCCTTGCCCTAACCCTAACCATTACCGACACATACCTATCCCTAAACCTAACCTAAACTCAATTCACACCTTAGTCCTAAACCTAACCCCCACCACAAGAAGAGAAACTTTCCTTATGGGGACCAGTTGTTGGTCCCCACAAGTACCTATGAGTCCCCAAAATGTAGCATATTCCTAGGAAATTGTCCCCACCAGGTATTAAAGACATGGCCATCCACACACACAAACACACACACACACACAATACAGATTTCAGTCAGCTACTTTATATTATATTATACTTTAAAATATCAATTTTAACAATATTTTACATGCTCTGTTGCTGATTTAATCATTTTTTGGCAATAAATAATATCAAATACATTATATGTTTGAATTGGTTACTGATGCAGACGAAAGCCTGATGCCTTCACTCACATGTATCCTGTTCATTCAACACTCGATTGATGCATCTCTAATGAATTTTCTTTGTTTCTACCTGTATAATAATTAACTGATTTTGAAATATTTGAATTAATATTTGAATTTGTATGATAAGAAACAAGAAGGATATGATATGATGCAATCATACTTCATTTAGAAAAGTTATTAAGAGCTTGCCCCAAGTCTGTTTTTTTTTCTTTTTTTTTGTTAAATCCATGGATGTTTATGGTCCTTTGTGCAATTAGTTAACTTATATGGAATTAAATTAAAGAAAAAACAGAGCACCTTTAGTTGAAGCTCCATTTGTCTAAATTATGTATTTAATTTGTCTTTATTCTTGTTTTGAAAGGCCTCATAATGGTGAAAGCTACAGTCTAACAATTAACAACATGTATCTGCAATAACCATCGGGGCTGGAAAACCATTACAAAGGGCCTAACGAGGGCTTCTAAAGCAGAGCTCTTCAACAGGGGGTCCGCGACCCCTAGGGGGTCCGCGGAGGTACTGCTTGGGGGTCGCGAAAGTCTTGGTTGATTACTTTTTTTTATATTCCCTCCTGCAATTTTTTGCACTAATTAAAATGTCTTTAAATACACATTAACATGAATTCAACACACTGTAATAAACAGATAAATGAAAGCAGAAGATGTCTTTCAGTCATCAATGCACACATTCAGCGACACACAGGAGCTCTTTCAAGCTGGGCACCGTTTCATTCACCACACCTGTCCCATCAACCAGGAATCAGAATCAGAAATACTTTAATAATCCCAGGGAGAAATTACTTTTGTTACATTAGTCTATGTGTAATAGAGTTACTATAGGACCAGTTTGATATAACACAATTTCATAGAATATATATAATTAGGGGGTCCCCGCTCCATCTCGCAATCAGTTTGGGGGTCCTTGGCTTTGAAAACGTTGAAGACCCCTGTTCTAAAGGGCTGCAAATGACCCCGGGGCCACACTTTGGACACTGCTGGTCCAGTAGTTATTTGCACAACTCAAAGTTGGAACAGGATGTTTATTATAGTACTCAGTTTTATGATTTCTTATCATATCTGGGTGTATTTTCTGATTATGAAGGTGGGCTGGTCAAAAACTCTGAAGGTGGCTTCTATTTCGGTTTGTACTCTATTCTAATGGAGGGTTGGTGACATTTGGGTGAAAAGGGTCAGATTTCAAAAATAAAATTTGACGGTGTTTTTATTTATAATAACCAATTTAATCATTTTAGATCTATGGTCTCTATTAAATTTCAAGCAATTATGGACGAGAGGCCCCTGATGGTCTTAACCAGCAGCTTGTGCGGGCTCTGTTATGCTTTCTACTATTAAGCAGCAACTAACTGATGGACATAAACAACAAATGATAAATGCATTCTTCTTCTTCTAATAAGAATTAAAGGAACAGAAAGAAGGAATGACTTTCAGCAAAGATGTAAACAAACTCTAAGCTTATAGTACTCCAAACTCTGAGCTTATAGATCCATGATCATGAGGGGAAAAGGTTCTCCTGTTCCTTCTTTGGCTTGATTTTCATCCCACACACTCAGTATGGCCAATAGCAGAAGAGTTACTATAATGAAACGCTTTTTCTATAAGGTACATCCATGCAGCATGTTGGTCCTGAGCAGAAAATAGAAGGCTGAAAATGGCACAAACAGGATTAGTATTTGAGGTTTGAATTAACGTTGTTAGGATAATCTTTATTGAAGATGTGTGAGTTTATTACACCATGGTATTGGCTGCCTGTTGCGTGTCAGAACTGATGTTTTAATCTAATTAACAGTTCCTCTGTGTGGATATACAGTTATAATCTTCATTCTGCACGTGGGAAAGATTTGGAAATGGAATGAGAGCGGTGTCCTTCAGCTAAGAATGAAGTGTAATATTTTGATAAGGCTGGAGCCATGGATGTCTAATCATCTGCTAATTTGTATGATGTAAGATATGATGATGTGGCAGAATGGAGATGTATAAAATGCCTTTTTAACTATTAATCGGGGCCACTTCCTGTGAGGTGAGCTCATAGGTGAGCAGCTGCCATTCTGTAAATTCTAAACACTCTGATCTGAGTAAGATTACAATTTCTATCAGAATCTGTTTAATAAATATAAGTTATGAAGTTTTATTTAAAGAGCTTGTCCCGAGTGATCTCTTTTCAGGGAAAACAACCGGAAAGATAGCATCAGGGTGCTTAGACAGAGCCTGTCTTTAATAATGATTACATTAAAAAGAAGATATTTCCAGATATCAAATAATATTTCTGAGACAATACTACATAATGTACTTTTGTCAAAAAGGAAAACAATGTGGGGAGTTTATTAACAAATGATTGGATTATATTATTTGACCCTCTGAGGCTGAGAAATCGGAGAAATATCAAAACAGGAGATGAGGAAAATTTCTTTCCTTTGTTTTCTCTCAAAAAAGAAAGGACGGCTTAATTTCCTAAAGCCAGCCTTAATTAAAAAAATAATAATAATCAGGAATGTTTATTACAAATATTGAGGATTGATATAATTATTGATTATATACCTGCAGGTGGAGATAATCTACCCGGCACACACCTACTCTAACATACTGCCTAATTTCACTCTGGCGAACCTGTATGAGAGCAACGGAAAAGCTTTGGGGATGATGTTTCCTGAGCAGCCAGCCAGCTTCTCTGGTTGGTAAATATAAATGCTTTACAGAAACATTCTTATCTCTTTCTGTTTTCTGCTTTAGAAATTTACAAAATGTAACGTTTAGCATCAGGATTGTCTGTCTCTTTACACAGAATCATTATCCGTGAATCTTTTATTATCTGACAGGTTCCACAGACTTTGGGAACGTATCCTTCTTAGTGCCTGGGATCCATCCTTTCTTCTACATTGGCACGGATGCATTAAACCACACAGAGGAATACGCTAAAGCAGCAGGTAGAGAGAGGTTTCCTGAAATAAAAAAAGCAAAGATCTGTCATCATCTCCCTCCAAGTCGTGAGGGTTGCTGATTTCTATTTATAGTTATTTTTTCCTTCTCTACTTCTTCTTCTTGCGTCAGGAGCTGAGGTGGCCCAGTTGCACACCCTGAGGGCAGCCAAGGCCCTGGCAATGACAGCTGTGGATGTGATGTGCTGCCCAGATCTCTTGCAGCAAGCGAGAGAGGACTTCAGGCTGGCCAAACTGAGAGCAGAGGACAGACACGCAAATCCGGAACAAACATAAATCATCAGAACTTGACTAAAGTTAGAAGGTCAAATCTGCTCAGTTTGGTTTGGAGAGTACTTGCTAAAAAACATGATGCTTTGTAAAGTATGTACACTCAATAAAAAACACAAACTCCAATGTATTTCATATGCTCAGCACTTTCAACACAAGTGATGTAAACAGGTGATGTAGAAGTGTTTTAAAAAAAAACAACAAAAAAACCTATTAAAGTGTGTTTTTCCAGAAAAAGTTAAAAAACAATCTAGTGGACTTTGTTTCCAAGTTTTAAGGCGTTTCGCTTCCCATCCAGGAACCCTTTTAAATTCAAAAGGTCAGAAATGGCGTTCAGTTCGAGGCTTTATAGAGTGGACAGAAAACAAAGCCTTTGTTTTGGCTTAAAAAACATGCAAACTGAACCGGATGAACGGGTCCGCCCTTCAGGAATTGGGGTCGTTTGGGTTCTTTGTTAGCCTGCCTGTCTATGTCTCTGAAAGAGGGGGTCGTTTAAGGGAATTGTTGGCCTGGCTGAACCGGCGAGGTCTTCTGTTCCCCTGTATGGGGGTGGGGGGCTGCAATGATAGCGGGATAGAATCAACTGAGTCCACCCCTTTTGTTTAAGGTTGTTTTTTCTTTCTTAACATAGATGGCTTCCTTCACACCTCTCCCAAACCACCTGTCTTATTTGTCCAAAATGTGAACATTCTGGTCCTCAAAAGAATGTCCTTTGTCCATAAGGTGTAGATGTACCACAGAGTCTTGTCCCGAGGAGGTCGCTCTTCTGTGTTGCGATGGGAAGCGAAACATCTTCAAATTTGAAAAAAAAAAAAGTCCAGTGGATTGTTTCTTAAAGCGTGGCGAGCATCTCTCACTGACCCCTTTTACTCTCAGTGATGGGACTAACGGCGTTGAAAGTAACGGCGTTACTAACGCCGTTACGTTGTTTTAGTAACGAGTAATCTAACTAATTACTTTGACTGTAACTATAACGCAGTTACCATTGCAGACACCCCGTTACTGCGCGTTACTCAGGTCGCAAAATGAACCTTTTTTCATGATAGGACTCGTGCACAGCTGCGTGAAGCTGACACCCCACCCACGTCAAAAACTCTGCAAATAGACTGAATGGTTAGTGCAACGTTAGAGCAGATTTGTGCAGAAAAAAATATTGTTTGTGCTACTTTTGTTTAAGAGATATTAAAGATTATTTTTTAGGTCATCCAGAGGTGCGCGCCTTGTCATGAGAGAGGGGAGGATGAGATTGGCTGATGAATAGTGAGATTCCGTCTGTCAGTTGGGTAGGTGGGTGTTTCTGCTGGTGGGTGTTAACGTACAGCACACACAGAGAGATGGAGAGTGAGGAGGACTCCAGCAGCAAAACAGCGTTTTCCTGATGGAAATACCGGTGTTATGTCCAGTGGCGGAGCCAGAGGGGTGGCAGGGGTGGCATTTGCCACCCCCAACATAGCCCTTGCCACCCCTACTGCCACCCCACTGGAAACGGTCATTTTAAAATATAATACTTATGAGATCAGCAAAGATTTGCCAGAAAAAGTGTAATTTCCGACTGTCCCTGAAGTTAGCCCGATGCAGCAGCAGCCTACATGCTGTTCACTGACGCTGTTCATTGGTTAAGCTGACATGTGGTTCCTGCTTGATCCAAAACACACCCGCAGCTTTAGAGAACAATATTGAGGAGTGTTGCAGGTATTTAAAAAATGTTACCGCTCAGCGGTAACCGCTGTGTTCCCTTCCTAATGAGAGGCGGCACTTGTCATGCATTTCTAAAAAGAAAAAAAAAAATGGTTGTGCACGCTCCGTAGTGCCCCGTTTATGCTCTTGCTGATAGATTGTGTTTTAAACAGATTCCTTTAACATATGTTTTTTAATGCACATGCTGCCCTGTAATGTTTTATTAATTTGGCCGTGGTAAGAATATGTGAAAAAACATTAAGTTTTATAATGACTGAAATGTAAGTAGGCTATGTCCTATGAAAGCTTTGAATTATAACCTAACTAGTTAAATAGATTATTTAGATAGATTAATTAATCTATTTTAAATGTTGTATTATTTAGCTAGCTACAGAAAAATAAAAACTATAGTTTAAATAATAGTTAAAATAGTGTTGTCTCTGCCAAACAGTCATGGAGTCCAAATACCAGGCTGTCTTATTTTGTGTAGAACCCAAATGAAGAGAAAAGATCTCCCAGTTCTTCTTAAAGAGGCAAAAACCAGGACCAGACCAGGAGCAGTCTGTGAGAGACAGACTTCCAGCGGTTTTGAGGCTTCTGCAAGATATTTCCCTTGAAAATAACAGTGCGGATAGAAAAGTGGAAGCAAAGGGTCTTTTGGCTCAAATTGATTTTCATTTTATAGCACTTTTAGTTACTTTTTGTAAAGTGCTCGGGGATATCAAAATCCTGTCTGACATGCTCCAATCTAGCAATCTTGATTTATCAAAAGCCGTAGATTTAGTCGGCTCCCTGACAGACACATTGAAAAGCTACAGAAGTGAAGCTTGCTTTGGTGAACTACTGAGGGACACTCAAGAACTAGTAGAACGCTGCAAAATAAGCACTCTGCCACTCAGCAAGAGACAGCCTAAGGCCAGTTCGAAGTTTTTGGACTCACTGGTAATGACTACTGTAGGACAGAGGCACAGTGACCAAAGTAATGAGGATTTTAACAGAGGTGTCTTTTATCAGATACTTGACTGTCTCACAGTTGAGCTTGAGAAGCGCTTTTCACAGAAGAATTGTGAGATAATGCTAGGGGTTCAGTCTCTGGTCCCAAAAAGCCCATTATTCTTGCAAGAGGAAACACTGTATGCTTTTGGACAGACATTTGAGTCAGATATAGAAGATCTTAAACATGAGGTTCACCAAACCAGACGGCTTCTTCTGAGGAGAGAAAAAGGTGGGTTAGAGAGACCCTCTACTTTACTTGACTTTGTTGTGTTCCTGGAATCTTATAAAGAGGTTTTTCATGAGCTGTTTAGACTTTGTAAGATTTCAGTTGTTATCCCAGTCAGTACTGCATCCTGTGAGCGAAGTTTTTCTGCTCTAAAGCTGATCAAAAACCACCTTAGAACAGTTGAGTCAAGGAGGGCACATGCCCTCAACATGGATGACTTTGTAAAACATTTTGCTTCTTCCCACCAAAATCGGAGAATTATGCCCTCTTGAGTGTATCCTGGCTTTGAGTTTGCAGTATGTTGTTCCCATTCAAAGCTTATTTGACTATAGCAGTGTTTCTCAAACCTTTATAAATACCACCATGGTAATGCTGGTCAGCTCTTGTGGTATTATCTTGCAGTTTACTATTTGGAGCCAGTTTTATTAATTTTTGAGAATTTGTTTTTGGTCATATTCTGGGCTCTGAGTTTACATTTACATGTTCACTGTTTCATAGTGCCGTTCAACGTCTTGTTTGGTCATGGCAAATCTTTGTTAAATAAACCATTTTAATTTGAGTGTGTGTGAGAAAATATTTGTTTCCTTTCGTTCATCATTTGTATATGGACCCCTCTGATAAAGCCTTGCTCACCCTTTGGCCACCCCTTGAAAAAAAGTCTAGCTCCGCCACTGGTTACGTCGAGCTGCGTTTCCCCATCATATACGGTTTCCTCTGCATCTCCGCACAGCGCAGGCGGCAAGAGTCACCACGCAAGCGACAGGAAACGCGCATGCTAGCTAAAGGCGCGCAACAGTCGCCCTGTGCTCGCGCCACAGGAGAACTACGGAGAGCGTGAACGATCAAATGAAAGGGAGAAATCTGGATGGATGGATGGATGCTCTGCCTTTTCAACCTACTGTATTTTTTATTTTAAACATTATTTGATGGCCTTTGTGGCAGGGATGGAGATCCATATTTTATGTCACACACAGAGTATACAGCTAGATAGATAGATAGATTGATAGATAGATGTTGCAGCATCTATAACAACCCAAACACACAGGATTTCAGAATTAGACATCCCCAGTTATTAATTTCATATACTCACCAGATCTGAATGCCCTGTTAAAAAACTTCACATCGTGTTCCCCCCTAATGTCATTTACGTTGAGTTGCAATAAATGCAAAACTCTCTGCAGGTTCTTGTCTTTGTCATCCGCTCTATTCAGCTGGCTTTGGAAAAACACGGCGAGAAGGTGGGGGCCGGGTGGTGAGGTTTACGGGGGCGAGAAACGCAAAAGTAACACAATAGTTACTTTTACTTGTAACTAGTTACTTTTATTGTGGAGTAACTCAGTTAGTAACTCAGTTACTTTTTGGGAGAAGTAACTAGTAACTATAACTAATTACTTTTTCAAAGTAACGTGCCCAACACTGTTTACTCTAATACAATCCAAAAAATTTAAAAAACAGTGCAACGAATTCATAATTTGCTCTCAGTGTTGATGAAGCTGTTCTGTTTCTGGTTTGTTTGCAAACATTGCATCAGTGTTTCTCACTTGCATAGATTTGTTTGTTCTTGCAGTTTTTCTTTAGAAATCAAGGCCTTGTACTTATTGAATGATAAAATGTGAAATCTGAAAAGGCGTCTTTCTAATTTCGAATGAAATACAGGAAAGTGCAGATGTCTCCTATTCTCTGAGTCTATTAGAAGTTATAGCCATTTTTCTTTATAGCATCATTTTTCAGCAAAACTGTTTTTAAACTATGTTCTTTAGCAGCGAGCGGCTAATAAATGAACTCAGTAGAGCGTTTCTCTGATAGAAAGTCAGATATTTCCCCTCAGGCTTCCTGGAGATGAAAACAGAACTAAAGGATGGTTAACGAAGCTGGACATCTCTCACCATGTGAGCAGAACGGCATGACGTGGCTTTTATGAATGTTGATGTAATTTGCCCACAGTGCACGGGAGGTTTACTGTGAACCTGAACGATTTGATGCTTCCCCTTCTTTCAGCTACATTAAACCAAACAGGTGTTTTTTTTTAGACTTCTTTAACTCTATATAACCTCTGCTGTAAAGTTGGTATCTTTGCACACCCCCGCCCTCAGATTCCCATTTTAGAGATGTTTACACTATTTTGACATTAGAATTTAGGCCAAACGGGTGTCAGGATAAAGGAACATTTTTGACATTTCACCTTTTGATGAATTTATATCTTTTATAGATTTTCTAGACTGATTGAATTGGATGGATGGAAGATGGCTGACGGAGCAACAGCGTGTGTATCTGTTGTCCCAGCTTCAT